GGGGGGGGGGGGCGCACAAGGTTCATCAGCAACGGAGGTCCTTGCATCGATTTTGCCAGCCTTTCCTTCCAAACCCAATAGAGCCATTGTTTTATCCCTCCCGCCCCCAGTCAACATGTTGATTTAAAGACCTTTAAGAACTTTGCATCACGGTGAGAAGCGCAAAAATGTGGGTGGCTTCATGAACAGATTTCCTTTTCCTGATGATGGGGGTGAGGGGGACAGCGGACGGAGTGGAGGAGAAACACAGAAGTGCCACAAATCATGGATTTCCCATTTCTGCCGCATCATCTTCCTGCTTCCACTCGAAAATGTTGTGAGACTGTGATGGTTGAGGACAGGATCAAGGTCCAACCAGGCTTGTGTGATGGGGCTCTGTATTTATGCATGAGCCCTCAGGCCCATGTGGGTCGAGGCCTTGCTTTGGCCATGCTCATTGGCCTGTGAGCAGCATCAAGAACCACCACTGCTCACAACATCCACCGATCCACACGGGTGGCCCTTGTGGACAGAGTGTGGCCCGCTATTAGGCTATATCAGGGGAGAGTTCTTAACTGTTAGAGCAGTACGACAATGGAACGTATGACCTTGGGAACTGGTGAGCGCTCCAGTGCTGGAGGCCCTCAAGAGAAATTCAGACAACCACCTTGGCAGATATCCTTTGACTGGTATTCCTGCACTGAGCTGGGGGTTGGACTCAATAGCTTGTATAGGCCCCTTGATTCTAGGATTCTACAGTACAGTACTGTGTTAGACAAGGTGCAAGGCACGAGGGTGTGGGGTTTGAAATGTTTTTAAAAAATGTCCATAGTCCCTTTAATCCTGCTCTTTTCTGTTACAGCTGGAGGCGCTGAGGCTGCACAGATGTCAATTCCGGGTGAGGTTTGTTGACAGAAAGAGAGATTAAGCCTGCTTTTGAGATGTGGTGAATTTGGAAGCTGTTCCCCCAGATAGGCTATTCAGTGGTTTTTTAAAAATATATATATTTCACCACCAGAGGGTGCTAGGGAGTTCAGACTTTTTAAAAAAATATCTAAGAAAAATATAATGTGAGGTGGGAATTGTGGATGTCATTGGGACTCTATGAACATAAGGAAGAAAATGTGTGCCCTCCACCAGACATCTGGGAGTTGCTTACCCCTCATCTAGTTAAAAAAAACGTCATGTTAGTTAAAACAAAGCAAAGATGTCTGGAGTAAGCCTCTTGACTTCTGCTTCCCCCTTTCGGCACACAGTTATCCGGGTACTTCTGGCTGTCTCTCCTTTCCTGCCACCTTGATAAGAGTCCTCTTTCCTCCCAGAGATACGGCTGGTGAATGGGCGCAGCCGGTGCCAGGGCCGCGTGGAGATCCTCTACAACAACACATGGGGCACAGTGTGTGATGATGACTGGGACATCGTGGATGCCAACGTGGTGTGCCGCCAGTTAGGCTGCGGGCGTGCCATTGCCATGCCGGCCACCCTCTCCTTTGGCCAAGGGCGTGGCCCCATCTTTCTCGACAACGTGGACTGCAAGGGGAGGGAGCCCGTCCTCAGCGAGTGCAGTAGCCTCGGTTGGGGCATCCACAACTGCTACCACTATGAAGACGTGGCGGTCACGTGTAACGGTACAAAGGTTTGGGCCCACTGGGTTCAAGTGGTTGTGCTGGGATTTGGGGGGGGAGGTAGGTGTGACTACACATGAAGAGAGAGAGAAAAATGAACTGACTCGCTACAAAGCCGCACCTGGAAAGTCAGGTTTTCCCTGGTACATTCATGTTAACTGGCCACACAGGGGTAGAGAGGAGGAAATTGGGAGGGTAGCCTTGTTTGCAGCCGCCTAGAGTAGTCGTATAGACCAGATGGGCGGGATATAAATCAAACAAACAAACAAACAAACAAACTCTTAATGCTGCACACTGCTGCAATCAAACAAACAAACAAACAAATAAATTATTAATGTTGCACACTGCTATAACTCTCCTGATTTTCAGGAGGCACAGCCACATGATAACTACCTTAATAAGCTGTAAACAGGGTTCAAGTGGCAATTTCTTCCTCTTGTTTTCTTTCTCTTTGTATGTGTGTGTAGGAAGAATATCTAGCTGCCCTAGTGCAACTGTGCTAGCACCAATCCTTTTTTTATAAGATCACTTTATTTTAATCAAATTATTTGCAAAGACCTAGCCTTTCCAGTATTTTTACAATGCCCCCCTCAGCCACTACACCATCACATCAACCACTAGCATCCTTGCCTGTATTCTTTTTTGCATCGGTTCAAGCAATTGCACAGGCTGAACCAATGTGAATGGATCTAATGTCTTTTTAAAAAAGTAGAAGTCCCAGCAGAAGAGGGGGAAAACTACAGATCAGAGCAGGGAAAAGTCTGGGCTGATTTACATGGGTTTTTCTGTCATGCAGTCAATGGGGAGGGGGGGGAAGGCAAATCAGACCATCCCAGTCTCATAGCTTTGCCATATTAAATCCATCAAAAGTGGATTCTCAGAACAGATTGGCCGAGCTTTTGAGCCGCTTTGCTGAGCCTGCTTTAAAATAAGGAGGGTCTGTATCGGGGTGGGCTTCTGCCACTGCACATCCGGCCATGCCGTGGCTCACATTTCCATATTGGTTCCCTTTTCAGAGCTATTCCCTACCGAAGCACCGAGAGGCCCCATCACTAAGATGGCCACAGCTTTCCGGCAAAACGGGAAAAGTAAGTGGCCTCCACCTACACCTTGACTCAGGTTTTCTTTTAAAAAGGACTCCAATTCGACTCAAAGACTTGGACCCGTTTTTCCGAGTCATGTTTTTCAAGTCCCTATTATTTTAATGGAGACCTGCCAGGTCTCCATTAAAATAACAGGGACTTGGAAATGGGACTTGGAAAAAAACAGGTCTGAGTCGCGAGTGAAGCCTGAGTCTTTGAAAAAAAAATAGAAGAGGAGGTAAGCAGCGGGGATGGGGGGAAGCTTGACTGGTTGCCCCTTTCCAAGATGGCGAGCTTGGCTTCCTCCCACAAAATCGAGCTCCTCCCCTCTTCTCACGAGATCAAGCTGAATGGGGGAATGGGTTTGGGGGACGGGTTTGTCTCTTGGGGTGCCGTGTCAGAGCTTTGCCAGTGAAGGGCCCTCCTCGGACTCCTCATCAGGCCCCTTGGGGTAAGGGTGGTCTCCTTAGGGCACCCCAGGAGGGATCAAAGAGGAGGGGGGAGGAGAACGGGGCTGGTTGGGAGGAGGAGGTGGAGCGGCTTGGAATGAGGACTTGAACTCAGGACCGAGACCTGAAGACTCGGACCTGGAGTTTGAGCTCGGATCCAAGGACTCGCCAACATCTCTGGTGGCTTGGGGGGGTGTCTTTTCTTGAGGGGCAGTGCGCTGTCTTTCGGATCTGACATCCCAGTGATTGCTGTGCCAAGACAGAAAGAAAAAGTACTCTCTCTCTCTCTCTCTCTCTCTCCTCCCTCTCCGAGAAGGGTAGGATGATAACAGAATTTCCCTATGGTCCTCTCTTCTGCCCCAGGTGATGGGAGCCTCCGGCTGGTGAACGGGGTCAATGCCTGCCAGGGCCGTGTGGAGATCTTCTACAAAGGGTACTGGGGCACCGTGTGCGATGACGACTGGGGGCTCCGTGACGCCGGAGTGGTTTGCAAGCAGATGGGCTGCGGCCGCGCCGTGGACTACCGGACCAACGCCTTCTTTGGCTACGGCACAGGGCGGATCCTCCTGGACAACGTCAACTGCGACGGGAGCGAGCCGCACCTCTCAGCCTGCTACAGCCTGGGCTGGGGCATCCACAACTGCGGCCACCACGAGGACGCCGGCGTCGTCTGCTCGGGTGAGCGAGGTGGCCAGGGTGGCTCAGCAGCGGGAGGGAAACGCTGGCTGTGAGGATGGAGCGGAGATAACAAGGGCCACAAGTTTGCAATCTCGAACTTGCAGGAGGAAAGGAGTCCAACTCACTGGCGACTGGTTTTTGTGTTGTGGTTAAGACTATTGGCTTGCAATTCAGGAGACTCCGGTTCAAATCTCCCCTTGGCTATGAAATGCACTGGGTTCAAATCTCCCCTTGGCTATGAAATACACTGGGTGACCTCGTCTCACCTTGAACTACTTTACAGGGTTGTTGTGAGGATGAACTAGGGGAGGAGAGCCACACACACACGGCCTTGAGTTCACTAGAGGAAAGCCAGGGTATAAAAGCAACCCAATCAATCTATCAAATAATAAGGAAATAATAGGTAAGGACTACAAGGACAGATTAAGAGATCTAGTTTAGGGTGAGATTTTGGGGATCACATGATCCACTGCCTAAGACACACGGAGTATTGTATTCAGGCCACGGGTGCACCTATATGTCATTCTGGAACTGGGCGTCGGGTGAGGTGAGACACTGGCATGAGATTCATTTCAGAATGGCAGTAGCACAGGCCATGAAACTGTGAATCGTCAAGTAGCACAGGTCATGGATGTTCAAAGGGCCTTTCAAAACATTAATGATCTGTACATCCTGACAATAGGCAGAAGAATAAACGAACGTAAATCAACTCTTGGCTTCCCCTTGATGACATGCCAGGGCTTTTGCTGAGGTCAGTTCTTCTTGAACAAACTGCTGTTTCTGAGGCTGAAGTTTTACCAAGGAGAAAAGGCTCCTGACTCAGAACTCAGATATAGCAGGATTTGTTTGGGGACGGTGGCGGTTTGTGTCCAATATATATGTGATGCATTTTTTTATTTTTCTGAAATACAGTAGGACCTCCTTATTCATGGGATCAGTATCTGCTGATTCACTTATTCACTGTCTGAAAAATATTGAAAGAAAAATCCTAGAAATAAATATTTTGAAATAAGTTACAGTACCAGAACTGGACAGTAGAGGGGGCCAGAGACCATGCTATGTATAGCATTCGCAATTAAAATAGCATTCACTATAATACGCATTTTTCATCATCTGTGGTGGTGGGGGTTGGAACTGATCTCCCACAGATATGAGGGACCTACTCTACATCTGATGCATCTGTTCCACTGTTCTGTCATTCCAGGCCTTGGGACAACAACAGCATCTGTCATCACTACTTCAGCAGTTCATAACTACGAGGAGTCGTTCACTGACACGGCCACAGGTGAGCAAGAAAGGATCTGAAACCCCCCCCACTACAGATGGTTTATGGCTAGCAGAAGCTGAAGTTGGTGGGATCTCTTCTGTTAGTCCAATCTTGAGAGAGTTTCATTGAAACGATAGTGGCCCAGCCTAGCATACTCCACTACTCCGTGTACTCCCAGGGGTGTATGAAGTAAATGATCTTTGGAGTTTCTTCCTTGGTGTTTCAGCTAAAAGAGAAGCAGATTCCTGCATTCAGAAATCCCACCATTGTGACGTGCAGAATACTCCTGTTTTTTTTCCTCTCATGAGCTTTAATCACCATTGCAAGCTGCCGATCGGCTTGCTTTGGTTCGCAATTGGCTGTTGGGAGGCAAACACAGGCTTCATTTGCAAGTCAGGTGGCCCAGGAATGGAGCATTGAGGGGATGGCGTCACTGGAGTATTCGTGTGCTGGCTGCCTATAAACACAAGCTGATTGTCCCTCGGTTTTCCCCGATCATCCTCACCCCGATTGTCTTTCCAAGGGTGTTTAATTGGCAACTGTTGGGGTGCCGTT